CAGGGAGTTTGACCCAGAATCTGATTTTCCCATGTGGGTCGTGATGATGCACCAATGATGCAGGATGACAAACGCCAAAACTGTCCAATCAATGAGTTACCTGTCAAAACTTTGTGTTTACTCCTCTTGGTTTGTTCGCAAAAAGTCAGTCCAGACAAGAACCAAACTAGAACTAAAATACGACAATGTATCATTTCCCCCCCTCTGTTGTGGACCAAATGAACCGAACTACAGGTGTGAAAGCACCCTAAATGTCAGCTGTTGGGGAACTATTATCTTCACATGCCAAACATATGTGATGTCATCATCCAAACATAGATGTTGCTGCCAGGATGATATGTCATTGGTACAGGGATGCACAGATGACATTACACTGTCATCTGTGAGGCCTAGTGGCTGCCAGTCCTCTGGGTAAACGGATAGTGTTTCCTCTGCAACCTCTGGGACAGCATTGGCAAATCACAGTAATTTTTATTGAACCAAGAGTTTAGCCTCTGATGTACTGGCTTTGTTGCCTTTTCAAGAAGCAGATTAGCCTCTTTGAGGTATTTCTTTCAACATGTGCTTCTCAATCTTCTGGTCATTGATTATTTTGATGTAACAAATTCTAGCCTGCACATACTGTAATTGTGGTTCTCTACCTTTGATGTCTTCTCGACACCTTATTGGTGAGATTCCTCAGCTTTTCAGCCTTTATCTCAAGGTGTTTGTGCTTCATGGCAATTTCATATCTTTTGAGCCATCTTTTTTTTCTGCCTCAGCAATGGCCTTTTCTTTTTGTACTGGCTTGACTCATAAGTTCTTCAGTACCTACTGTTCTCCATCTCACATAACAGCACTTCTGCCTGGGGAGCATGTAGTTGCTCTTTCTTCTTGTTTCATTGAGAGTTCCTGGGTATTTAATTTTGCGTCTCTGCAAAGTTCATAGAAGTCCTCTAAACTGCATTCATCCCATTCCTTCTCCCTTATTTTGTAAGTTTTCACCTTGGCCTTAAGAGTCTGGTTTTTGTTCTTCAGAGAGTCTATTTTCTTGGTTTGAGACTCAATGACCTGCTTCAAAGGCTCCCTTTCTTTTTCATGATCCTCCTTGAGTATGTATATCTGCCACAGGAGGCGTTTCACTTCATTCACTGTGTTTGGATGTGTTTTGCCATTATAGGCTTCTGTTAAAATTTGCACAAATTAAACAGATAACAGTCATGACATAGCAATTAATTTCTACCACAGTACGTACAAGCAAAGACACTCTGTAATAGCTTACTCTTAAAAACTTTAAACAGATAGACTTATTAAGTCATGACATAGCAATTAATAGCTGAATGTAGATAAAACTAGAACTTGTTAAGTTAAATAATTGAAAAGGTTTAGGAGCTGTAAAAGACCTAAAAGAAACTACTCTGCTGCTTCAAACAGCAACAAAGCTGGCTCAGTGAAACACACAATCCTGGATACATAAAAAAGAGGTATGAGAGAATCTATTATTCTGATAAATGTCAGCCTCTAGAGACTGCCCACATGAAAAAAATCACATCTGCAAAGCCAAGTTCAAGCCCCAAACTTCATGCAACCTTTAAAGGCAAATTTAGCTGGCAGGTGGGAAGGCTTGAAGTGAATGTTGTGTAATGCACACCTGGTAGACAGTTGCAGCAAAGTTATGTCAATACTGGTGACCCATGCTGTGGCTTTCCATGAGTGCAGTAACACTGCAGCAAGTATGAAGTCAGATTCCGTCTTATTTCATTCCTACACCCATACTTTAAGAAACTATCCTAGAGAAAGTCTTAAAGTCCCTAATAAAATGAAAAATAGATTTCCCAGCTTTAATCCTGTGTCCCTGAGTTACACGTCTAGTGTGGAGGATTTCGTCGTATCTTGTAGTGACATTGCAGATTGCAACTGAAACTTGTAGTGTGAAGGACGTGAATATGTGAAAACGCAAAGGCTCTATCTAAAACCAGTGTTTGGTTTGTCCATTATAGGCTTCTGTAGAACTAAATGGCTCAGTGGAAGAGGACTTACATTGTATGTAGATATAAACTACTTCTGCTAAGGTAATAAAAACACAACAATTCTTATTTTCAGGTCTTTACGAAAACATAAATATAGATAGTATACACCATTTCTGCCAATAGATGCCCCCTAATCCTCCACATGGGACTTTTAACCTTTTGTCACATACCAAATATATAATTTTTTTTAAAATCAATATCAGAGTATATTTACATTGAAATGCCTGTCTTTTCTCCTAATGTATGGGTAGACCAGACTTTGAAACACATTTTTACATAATGAATCCATACATAACATTTCTGAAAGACAAACATAATTAATACTTTGTGAAAAACAGCAAAAAAAATACAAAAAATGATGGAAAATTATCTAGAAATTAAAAAATTATTATATCGCTAATGTATCTTTAATCTACTGTGCTGAACACACATCTGAAGTCAGTAACCCTCTGCTTCAGATCCACATGCAATCTCTCTCTCAGGTTTAACCATTATATTTAATCATCACAGTGCACATTTTACACATTCACAGCAAATCATTTAAATTCCTCAACTTTGTGCTTTGCAAAAAAGTACCATTTGTACACACCTACAAGCTTGTGCACTCCACTGATGGCTGATGTCTTCAGGTGTATGAACATCTGCATGCAGATATTACACATGTCCGCGCTCACACAGATGTTATTCGAGGTTTGTGTGTCTTGCTGTTTGTGTGTGAGAGGAAGAGAAAAGGAGAGTGTGTGGGTGTCTGACGGGCAGACAGCTTGACAGAGCTCATCTGTGGCTGTCGCCCTCCCGTGTGTTATCAACGACGCCCAAACGGGCGCTGCCAATCATCCCATATACCGACGGGACCACCAAACCAGACACACACACACACACACACACACACACACACACACACACACGCGCAAGCATGGATGCTTGCACAAACACCTGGCACCAAGTGCACAGGAGTGTATATGTGAACACACGGGCATACACACACATCCAGTTGGTGATGTTGCATGCCCGTTCCCATCACACACACACACACACACACACACACACTGGGAGCAGGTGTTTCTTACATGGAAAGACCCCCTCCATCCTCCCTCTGCACACACACACACACACACACACACACACGCACACACAGCACATGAATAACTCTCCTCCCTATCTAATACTCACTGGCTTTACCTCAGGCACCAACCAATAAGCTTTCACTGTCTGCCGCCCTCTCAGCTCTCATTAGTTGCAGCACACCTGGTGAAAGTATTGGACTGATGTCACACTGTACCAAATTATGATGGCCAGATTACTCCATTTTCCCCTAATTAGACCTCCTCCTTGAAGTTGTGTAAACAACTTGAATAATTCTTGAATAAATCTGTTGATTGTTTTTTTATTAAATGAAAGTGAAAAATGTCAAAAAACAACTGAAAGACTGTAATCAACATTCTTGTCCAGTTGTTGCTCAACATAAGATAACTAAATGAAGGGAATCTCATGGGTAGTAGGAGTTTCTTTGGGCCCCAAATATCTGGCTTCATATGGGCCTGGATCCTGTTTAAACCTGATCAAAGCCTGAGTCACTGCAGTGATTATTAAGCCAAAACATTTTGATTTTGTGTCAACTGTGTAAACCCAGAGCAGCCTAACAAGCTCCTAGAATGTCACTGAGTGTTCTGGCAGGGTACAAAGGGGTCACTTTTATACTGTTAACGAAAGGAAGAAAAAAAAAAAAATCAAAACTGCTGAATAAAATGAAACCTGACCAAATCAAGCCCAAAGCAATTAGGAGAAATCAGGCCAGGCAAACCTGGACCAAACCAGTCTGGCCCAATCACATTTGGGCTGAGAATCAAAGGATACAAGGACGCACAGAAACAGACAACAAGCCCCCCCACCCCCCAAAAAAATGCAGCTGCAGCCAATTTTCCAAAACGAGCTGTGGCCAAAATGTTTGTCGACCATCCTGATCCTCCTGCTCGCTCAGCTCTGTAGGAAGGTACCTCTTAAGCATCCTGTAAAATTCACCTAAATTCACCAAAAACACCTATCCAAGGCAAAACCCAAAGTAAATGTATGCTGTTCTTGTTCCATCTTTAGTACATGTATGTATGTGCATGGTCTCATTTGAAAGGTAACACAATGAAGTTAATTCCTCAACAATCAGAATCACTGTAACTACTTAAATTACTGAGTTATACAAGTTTCAACACACTGAAAAAAAGGTTTCTCTTATCTTCGCCTGAATATTTTGAAAGCAGATGCAGCAGATGACTAGATCTGGGAGGTATCAGCTGGGAAACACTGGGGACCATAGCATGAAGCCTCACCTTGTCCGAGGTGTTACTGAATGTGTGAATGTGAGTGTAAAACAAGTCAATGCAGACAGAAATGTCTATTAAAGAGCTTACTGTGGTAACACTTTCTATGAAGACCATATCTGTAATGCATTATGAGGGCATTTATAGTGAATTATAATGCATTTTAATGCTCTATGACTGCACTCATAAACACACAAAAGGCTTACTAATGCACTATATCAACAGTCATAAAACATTATAGATGTGACTTAATGATTTATAAGTGTCTAATGGATGTTCTTGACTAGCTATAACTAGAGGCTGACTGATTGTTTATAATAACTGAGTTTATAATGCATTATGAATAGATACTCACCTCAACAGTCAGCTGTAGTGAGGACTCATAGTATGCAGTATCATAATTTATCATTGTAGCCTATGTGTTCAGTAAAGTGAACTACTTATTGATGCACCTATTATAATGTATGCTTCATCACAAGATTTCATTGTTGGTGCTGAGTAAAGAGTGTTGCATTTTCATGTAGGCTATTTAAAAGAATCTATGACGCATCACTAGTGATTATTGTCTATCATTAAGGTGACCAGATTTCTGAGATGAAAATCGGGGACATTTTCAGTGCGGCGGTGAAAAATCATTAAATATTATCATTATGAAATAAAAAACGGGGACAAGTACTTTTTCATGTATTTTGACCAGCTTTTATTACACAAAAGGTTGCAATCAAACAAATGAGTGACATCACCAACCATCCATCCACTGAGGAAGACAAAAATATCTTAATCTTGTTAGCTTGAGGATGGATTGTTTTGGTCAAAGGTTTCAACTCATAACTGAATACTGAACTGACACAAAAGGTGGCAATCAAAAAAATAGGTGACATCACCGTGACCCCCTCATTCATCCACCTCTGTAGCCTCCGCCTCAGGAGCCTGGGTAGAATAAGAGCAGAGGAGAACATGAGAAAAACTGCAAGAACAGAGCCAATAGTAAGTGAATAGTTTTATAAAGAAATAACATCAGTTTTGATAATATACTTATATAATTTAGTCATTGTGCTCTTTTTTATCAGCTCTGTGTAATTGCCTCTGTTTGAAATGTGCTACATCAGAGGTTCCTAAACCTTTCAGACTATGTAACACTTTGTACCAAACCAAATTTCCAAAGTGCAACTTTCTACTCCAGATATGATTTTTTTCATACAATAAAAACAACTGTATCACCCATGCAACAGCATCAGTAAGGCTAAACAACATCAACAAAATGCTACTTTATTAAAATTTATTAAATTATTAAAATGAAAGAATAGCTACATTCATGAAGTGCACTCACAAAAGTCACTCATCAGGGGGACAGACTACATTCAGCCAATTTCTCCTTCTGTCTCTTCTCCTGCATGTTATGCACTGCATGTTACAATCATACTTACTTTACCTCACTTCACACACACACACACACACACACACACACACAGTCAAGTCTACTGCCAGCTCACACACATACCATTTAACGCGGTCACTGGTCTCCTTTTCTCTCCTTTTTGCCGCCTCTAGATTGTTGTTGTTGATGCTGCTGCGTCTGGTCGTGCTTCCTGATAATATCTGAAAGTCATACGACATCTTCTCTGGTGATGCGTTTACTGACTACCGTAATAACTGGTGTTTGAGTCTGCGCGCATTTCCCCCCCATTCACTGTCAAAATCGGGGACATTTTCGGGTACAGCTTTTACCAGGCACAGTTTACCCAAATCGGGGTGCGCCTTTCTTTAAAGAAATTTACGTTAATCAGAATCAGAATCAGAATCAGAAATACTTTATTGATCCCCGAGGGGAAATTATTTATGTTACAGGTGCTCCTTGCAAGACAGGAAAGATACATGAAAATATAAGAAATTTAAACAATAGTATTAACAAATATATAGTTAAATAAACAGGAATTATTAACAAACATAAACGTAAATTATATATGTATACATAGGTACAGAGTACTCAAAAGACATGATAGTATGTGCACTAAAAACTGAATGATATCTTCAAATTACTTGCTATGTCCAAAATCATCAGTTCACTGTTATTTTAGACAAGGAAAAAAAATCTACTTAGCTATTAGAGAACAGTTGGTGTGGTGAGTTAATTTTGTATAACCAAGAAATAAATTGTTTTTGTCTTAAAAAGCTACAAACCAGCATGATGGATAACCCTTGCTGATTTAACCAAACAGATTTTACATTTTTGATGCTTCATTGCTGGTAATCTCAGACTGATCTCTATATCAAATCATACGCATTCACTCATTGACTGTACATTGCATTATTTTTCTATTAAGATCCACGACTGTGAAGCAAAAAGCCCCAGTGAGCCGTTGCTAGCCCACTACACTCCTGCACTACTGGCCCATCTGACCACATCCACTTGACAAAGGCCTGACAGCTTGGCTTGACACACTTCTTCTAATCTAATCTCCAATCCTTCTCCACTGTATTCACTCAGCTAGTTAAGCCCCTTGCTAATGAGACTGTGCCCCATTGTATGGAATTAAACCAGAACACTACTCACTGCCTAAATCACATCACACACAAGGACCAATTCTACAAGGGAATTAGGGAATCTGGGAGCATGTTTGTTGCGCGACAAAAACAAGTACATGCGATATGCTGCGTAGATGAGGGAGCATGCAATTACACATGAGAGAGGTGTTTAGCTTTGACACGGGAATCGTGAGGTGGACTTATGTCACCTCACCGTTCCTGTCTAAAATAGACAGACAACTTGCATGAATGCATGAGTGAAGGGCAGAACAACAGAAAGCTATGAAGCAGTGAAACCTGACATTTATCTCCTGTCTGCATCGCACAGAGAGCGCAATGAGCAGTCAGTGACATGTGAGAAGGATTTGTGACTTGTATGCTTTAATATACACAAAAGAACTGTATTACCGTAGATGACTTCCACATTAAATCATATACAGTGAATAACCCTATCAGATATGTCATGTCTAATGGCATATGGTCTTTGAGAAATAGCACATAATGTACACAAAAATCACACTAAATAATCAAATCAGAACTGTGCTGGGGTTTGGCTTGTAATCTGTATAGGCAGATAGAAGGATGCAGTGAACAAAAGAAAACGGGGAACAGGCACACAGTACAGTGAGACAGTACTGTATATTTGCCAGCCAAGGGCTT